GACAAATGAGCTACCTCCGTTTTAATGAAGCCCCTTGCTGATGGCTCAGGCCACATCATGGAAGAGAGGAAGCCTGTAAGATTGTAAGAACAGGTCACGAGGTTGTGGACGTTGGGGGTGGTCATTGAGAGGATGTGACTGCCAGTTGACCTGTGTGCTGGGCCTCAGAAATCAGAGGCTCCTCAGCCCCTCCCCTGTCCTTGGAATGTGGGTTCCACTAGCCTGGTTCCCCTCAGAAGTTGCCCCACGCATCCAGATCTGAGATAGAGACATAGTGTTGAGTCAGGAAGGTATAAATAACAGAAGCTACATGCGGCTCTGTAACTTTCAAGCCCTGGTGGGCAGATCCAGAAAACTGCTGGTCTTACAACCACCCAAAACAAGCCTCATAATAAGTTCTCTTGCACAACACAGCTACTACCGACCAACCTAGAATGGTCTGCCTCTTTCTTTGGTTTCCTCCTGCCCTCCTTGGGAGGGGCCGGTTTCAGATTACAGCCGAGAAAATTAGGAAGATTTTGTGACAAATAGTGATCAGATCTCCAGTTTCACCTAGGATAGCCCTGCTTAATCCTATTGGGGGGGGTATTTTGTCCAAAAAGCATTTGGTCCTGATTTTTTATTTTTAAAAATAGTATTAGTAGGTGCATTATAGTAAGCCAGAGTGAATTTGGGGGACATCTACTTCGTACTTGTGGCTCTTCCATGGGATGTGAGAAGTAGTGTATGAGACATATGGGCATTGAATTAAACGTCTCCTTTTAAGACATGATTAAATCTAAAAGAGAGCTAGTGATAACCCAGGACACTGTTCATAAAAACAAAATTAAACTAAGAAACTGATTAAATAATGAAACTACATGTGAAAAATATCTATCCGGTGATATATTTAATGTTAAATTAATTTATATAAAGCATTTTCATTAATGTACATATGTATCATTTGTCCTTTAGAAATAACTTTATTCCTAACATAATTTAAAGGAACTTTCATTTTTGATCCACTATTGTGGCTAAACCAACTTTGTCAGTTTTAGTGAGAGCACAATAAAACGTTGATGAAATGAATGAAGAGGCTAAGCAGGTTGGTTCATATGTGAGGCATGTACCAGGTTTCATACACCAACTGAGTAAATGCACCAGTGAGCATAAGACTCTACTGAATGACATTTCAGTAGAGTAAGAGCCACCAATCCAGGATGGGAAAAAGGAACAAATTAGTATGTCTAATAACAACAGGGATTTGGGCATTGAGACAAATACCAAGTTATCAATCACCCGACCCTGATGGAGAAGTTTGGCATTTGTCTTTTTTCCCTGATGTTATACAAAAAATTTCGTATTTTGTTATTCTATTTGTATTGTGTACCTTTCACATGTATATCTATAATTTATTTTATTTTTTATTTATTTTTTAAAAGATTATTTATTTATTTATTTGGCAAGCAGAGATCACAAGTAGGCAGAGAGGCAGTAGAAAGAAGGGGAAGCAGGCTCCCTGCCGAGCAAAAAGCCCGATGTGGTGCTTGATCCCAGGACCCTGAGATCGTGACCTGAGCCAAAGGCAGAGGCTTAGCCCACTGAGCCACCCAGGCGCCCCTCTATAATTTATTTTAAACCAATTTTTGCAAATGGTGTGAAGCACGTGCCAAATCCTAGGTCAAAAGAGAGATAACCAACACACAGATGTGTAGATGCATGGAGATATCCAGTTCACCCCGAAACATTCACTGAAATGATTCTCCAGTGCTCAGCTGTGCCACCATTGCATAAATGAGTTCTCACCACATATGTATTCTCTGGGTTCTGAGTCTCTAGGCAGTTTTATCGTATTTTTTTGCTCCAGGGACTGACACTATATTGTCTTCATTGATGTGGTTGTGTCCTAAGCCTTGCTGTTTGTCGGTACAAGTCCTCCAGATGTCGTTCACCAAAATCGTCTTGGCTCTGCTTGCTCCTTTGCATTTCCAGGCATATTTCATAATCATCTTTCTAATTTATTCAGTAATACAACTTGCTAGGGTTTTGATTAGGATAGCCTTTACACTGTGGATCAATTTGTTGATATTTCTATGAAGTCATCAAATTCATAAACCCACTATTTTTGTTCATTTTTGATCATTAATATCTCTTTGGTTTTTTTTGTAGAGATCTTTAATAATTTTTGCTTAGATGTTCCTGGATATTTTTATTTGTTATGTATGTTATGCATTTAATTGAAGTATTTTATAAATATGTATTTCTGGTGTGCATGAAAATGGAGTTTTGTGCAACCTTGCTAATTTTATTAATTTAATATTCGCCTGTAAACTTTTCTTAGGTATATTCTGCTTGATTTTCTAACAAAAATACTGTCACCTTTGAATAATTGTTGTAATTTAAAAAAAAATGTTTCTGATATCTGTCTGTCTATCCATCCATCTATCCATGCATCTATCATATATGAATCATTGGTCTGTCATCATTATCGTCTTTAATCATTCACTTCGGTACGCGTGGCATTGTCTCATTGTCTCACATTGTCTAGGAGGTTCAATACAATGCTTTAAAACATAGCAGTGATAATAAACTTCTTGCTTTTTAACTACTCCAGAAGGAAAAGTTCTAAATCTTCATAATTAAATATGATTGCTGTCAAAGTTTGAAAAATGTCCTTTATCAGATTTAGAAGGCTGCATTTTTCCCCTAATTTTCTGAGTTTTTACTGAAAATAAAAATAGAATATTTTCAGATCTATTTTATATATCTAATAAGAATTTTTGTTTTACATTTTTCTTTTTTAAGCCATTAATGCCACAAATTATGTTCATTTTCTGATGTTAAAACATCCTTTAATTTTAGTAATCAAAAATTCAAAATGTCTTCTCCTGTGAAAATAAACATTTAAAAATAGTTTGACAAGTATGCTTGAGATGGGCCTGTATGAATTATGTTCTTATGTAGAAGAATACCCACAATATTTTATATTAGGTTTTCCATTTAGTAGAGAACAAGGGAGTGACACATTAGAACAGTGAAGGGGTATGTTCTGCTTAGAAGTAAATGAAGCATCAATTTAAAATGTGCTTGAAAAAATTGGGGGGAAAACCCCTAATTTTGTAACTTGTTTTTCTATAAACGAGCATGGGGTGATCTGTGAGTCAGTGCGTTTTCATGATCTTCCTGGTACTCATTTGTATAGTACTAGGTAAAGAGGTCTAAAGTCTTAATTGTAAGAATTTCTTTTGGTCAAAAACTAACCATATAATAATTTTGACTTTTGCTCCTGAAGCTAGAGTAGACAGGTAGTCTAGTTCTGGAATCTAGGGATGGAGCACTCCTATAGAAAGAAATGAAATGGAGACATGGAGAGGAAATGTAGAAAAAGTAAATGAATGTGTGCACAGAGGGTAGTTAAAAGAACAACTCTTGCCCAATACAAACTGATTGAATTGAGGGTCCCTAAGAATCCTTTTCTTGGAGTAACTGTTTACAGTTACTACAGAAATGCCTTTTATTATTTGCTGATTATTTATTAATTTATTATTTTATTGAGATATATTCAATATATAATGTTGTATAAGTTTAAGATCTACTATATGTTGATTTGGTACATTTATATATTGCAGTATATAGTTACCACCTCATATTAGCTAGCATCTTCAACACATTATCTTTTGTGTGGGGTGTTGGGGGGGAGACAAATTAAGATAGACTCTCTTAGTAACTTTGAAATATACAATATAATACTGTTGACTATAATTATCATGCTGTACATAAGCTCTCCAGAACTTATTTATTTTCTAACGAGTTTTCTAGGCTTTGATCAGTATTTACTCAATTGTCCCACCCTAACCCCCTGTTAACCTCTGTTTCTATGAGCTCAGCTCTTTTAGATTCCACATGTAAGTGATATCTTTGTCTTTCTCTGCCTTATCAGGCTTAGCATACTGCCCTTAAGGTCCATCCATGTTATCACAAATGGAAGTAATGTATTGTAAGACACTTGAAACTATTGTGTTTACACTTTGTGTGGTTGTACAGTATACAAGTGTTAAGTAACTAACAAAATACTGAGACAAAAGAGCAAATATCACATACATTTGAGGGCCACGGTAAAAATTTCAACAATTCTGTTATAGAAGAATAGAAGGGCTTCCTCTTAGAGTGTCTCAGTTTATAATTAGCTTGTAATTAAAATATTAATGATGCTAGTTGTAAAGAAAAGCACATAGGCTATTTGATTCTGTGATGCTCATGTTGCCATTCTTACTGACACAGAACATAATGTTTCAATAAATGCAGATTTCCAACAAGACCCATAATGCTATTCCACGTTTACATAAAGATGATTAAAAAGCTTAATATCTTTAAATAAATATGTTTAATTTATGAATGGAGTTTAAATGCACAAATACTTACATTGTGTTTTATTGATTGTTACTGAATTTTCATGAGAGCACTTTACGTTATCAGTATCTGGTAGCTTTTGCTTTGTACTTTTAAAAAAAGAATTCTTCAAAGTAAGAAAGAATTTTATAGATGGGTATTAAACAGGGTAGATAATTATGGCCTTCCTAAACTTGATATTAATTCAAGCACATTTCAATAATTTTTTTAACATTTTATCAACATTCTGTGACTTTTTTGAGTTACAGGTCACAATATGATTTTTAAATTAAACTGCTTCCAATTCCGTTTTGATTCTTCCATTAATAATACACCTTTGAAACCTCCTGAATGGATCTTGTAATGGATCATTTAATGGTTATATTTCATTATAGAATAGATTTACATGTTTAAAATCTACATTGCATATAGGAATTAGGGCTATTTTGCATGAGGCTATATTATCTTGTTTATACAGAATGATACTAGTTTTATAATTCTGAATAAGGAGGGCTCGTCTTTCATGTGTATCATCGTCTTGCTTGCTAAGGAGAGAATGCTTTATAGAACTGAATGCATTGTTCCATAATACCACAGTCTTAATTTCTTGTTACTATTTATATTTTCTTCAGGAACATTAGTCATCCAAGTGACAGCAAATGATGCTGATGATCCTTCAAGTGGCAATAATGCTCGTCTCCTGTACAGTTTACTACAAGGCCAACCATATTTCTCCATTGAACCAACAACAGGTATTTATGAATGAAATAAAGTGTAATTCAACAGGATTCTAAGTAAGCAGATGTCAGAACAAAAATCATCTGCGTATTATAAACATGTTGTACAGTAAACCTGATGTTTCAATAAATAAATGCATTGTACTTTTAAACATTTAATTCTTTTTAGGCTTTTAGCTGATTTTTCTAACTTTCAGAGATTGAATTTTCCACATCTATACCACAAATCGTTTGTATATGTAAAGATTATAACAAATCAACTGGAAAAGGAAAAAAAACCAATTTAAATTATGCTAAAGGCACTTAAAACAATTGACTAAAATTTGATATAGGAAAAGCCTGCAAGCATATTAAAAATGATTAACCTCAGCAGTCATCATGGAAATGCAAATTAAAACCACATGAGAAACGCAACACCTTTACACCCAATTCTCTCCAGAGTCAAACGTAGGTAGATTCTAGCAGTGTCTGTTTAATACATTCACCGTTGCCTATAGTGATTCATATGAAAGATTATACTTGTAAAACACTTTAATCCACAATTAAAATGCCATCACAATATGGTCCAATTCATCCCTTTTTGTTTTTATAGGTCTCACAATTTTTTAATGAACATTTTTCCCCAGCCTTATTTGAGGACTGGCCATTTTCTGTCTTTGTGTTAGTGTTCCCAAAATCTTTAGGCCAGCATCCCCTTGTCCTTTGTACCACCTTGAATTTTTCTTAGTTTTTTTTTTCAGTGATAATTAATTACTTTTTCAGTAAATAATTTTATAGAAAGTTGATATTTATCACATTTATTATGGTCCATCTTGAGTTTGAAAATCTGTGTATATATTTATCTCTATTGGTAGATTATGAATAACTGTTGGTCAAAAACAAACCTTTCTTCACATACCACGACTTAAAATAGACTTTAACATCACAGGTGCACAATATTTTTTGCATAAATTTGGTGTTATAATTTACACATTTATTCATAATTAACTTCTTTCAAACTTAAGGGAAAAGTTAATTGTAGCACACTAATATGTTAGCGAAGACAGCAGAAAATAATTTGAGGTAGAAATAAGATATTCCTCTTCTCTACCTGCAGATTATATTAACATAGGTATTTTATTAAGGGTCTGCTAGTATTCTTAGTATCCGATGACTGTTCTAACCTCCAGGCAGAGTTGGTGTTTATTATTATCGTTATTATTTTTTCTTCGGGGCAGTGTCTACCGCATTGTAGTGCTTTAAAATGTGTCAAAAGAATGATTATTTAATGATTGAATTCTTAGGAGTTTAACTAGGAGGATACCATGGTTAATAATGAAATAATAATTGATGTTTTTATTACATTTTTTAAGGAGTCATAAGAATATCTACTAAAATGGATAGAGAACTGCAAGATGAGTATTGGGTAATTATTCAAGCCAAAGATATGATTGGTCTGCCTGGAGCACTGTCTGGAACAACAAGTGTATTAATTAAACTTTCTGATGTGAATGACAATAAACCTATATTTAAGGATCGTAAGTAGAAAACGTCTTGAATTTTCATTATAACATAATTATGCATATGTTAAATATATGCAGATGTCATCGCCTATTAGCACTGGAACAGCACTAGAATTGTATAAAATAATTTGTTAGTTATTCTGTGTGATTATTTTTATTAGTGTGAAAAGTCAAATACAAATGAAACAGTACTGTGTTTTCTTTCGATTGCTTCTGTAACAATTTCCACAAGCTTTATGCCTGAAATTATTATACTAATGAAATGTCACAGGTGTCACCGTATTAAGTTCAAGGTGTCTGCAGGGCTGTGTTCCCTTCCCAAGGATCCAGGGGAGAATCCATTTCTTTGGATTTGGTTATTGGCAAAATTCAGTTCTTTACGTTTGTAGGATTAAGGTCACTGTTTCCTTGATGGCTGTCAGGTGAAGGACACTGTTAGCTCCTTAACGCGTCTTTCTGATTCTTGTGTATAACTCACGCACCTGAAACATAGCAAAAGGTGTCAGATCCTACACACACAGTCATCTCTCTGACCCACACTTTTGCCTCTTCTTCACTTTTAAGGACTAATGTGATTAGATCAGGTCCACTTGGAGGAACCAATACACTCTCCACATCTCAAGATCAGCTAATTAGCAATATGAATTCCACCTGCAACCTTAATTCCGTTTTGTCAATACGTTCATAGGTTCTGGGGTATTAGAACACATATATTTTGGGGATTCATTTTTCTACCTACCACAGTAATGATTTGAAATGATAATATTTTTAAATTTTTATTTATATTCAATATATTAAAACTAAAAACAGAAATAAACACAATTCACCTGTTTTTGTGTTCACCTATGATTTATATATATGAAAAAATCATATATAATATTTCACATATAAGAGAGATCATACCGTCTTTTTCTTTTTCTGACTTATTTCACTTAGCATAATGCCCTTGAGGTCCATCCATGTTGTTGCAAATAACAAGATTTCATTCTTTTTTATGGCTAAGTAATATTTGTGTGTGTATGTATCATAATTTCTTCATCCATTCATCCACTAATGGACACTTAGTTGTTTCCGTATGTTGGCTGTTGTGAGTAATAATGCAATGAGCATGCGAGTGCGGGTATGTTTTCTAATAGGTGTTTTTATTTTCTTTGGTTGAATACCCAGAAGTGGAATTGCTGGATCATAAGGTAGTTCTGTATTTAGTTTTTCAAAACACCACCACATTGCTCTCCATAGTGTCCGCTCCAATTTATGTTCCCACTAACAGTGCACAGGGTTCCCTTTTCTACATGTCCTCACCAACACTTGTTCTTTCTGGTCTTTTGAATAATAGCTGTTCTAACAGGTGTGCGGTAATATTTCATTGTGGTTTTGATTTGCATTTCCCTGATGATAAATGATATAGAGCATTTTCTCATGTACCTGTTAGCCATCTGTGTGCCTTTTTTGGAAAAATGTTTATTTAGATCTTATGTCAATTATTAATATTATTATTAGATATTGAGTTCTATGAGTTCCTATATATTTTGGATATTAGTACATTATCAGATATATGATTTGCAAATATTTCTTCCCATTCAGTAAGTTGCCTTTTCATTCTTTTGATGGTTTCCTTTGCTGTGCAGAAGCTTTTTAGTTTGATATAGTCTACTCATTTTTTCTTTTGTTGCTTTTATTTTTGGTGTCAGATTAAAAAGATCATCACCAAGATCTAGGTCAAGGAGCTTACTCCCTGTGTTTTCTTCTAAGAGTTTTATGGCTTCAGGTGTTAGTTCAAGTCTTTAATCCATTTGAGTGAATTTTTGTGTATGATGTAAGATAATGGTTCTGTTGCATTATTTTGCATTCGGTTGTCCATTTTTTTCAACAGCACTTATTAAAGAAGCTGACATTTTCCTATTGCATATTTTTGGCTCCTTTGTCATAAATTAATTGACCATATACGTGTGGGTATCTTTTACTTTTGTAGCATGAATAGGCCCCAACTGCTCTCATAATTTAAGATATAATACAAGTTAAATCACTTGGTGAGCATCAGAAGGAATTTCTTGTAAAATTCTTAGGAGAAATTGTTTTTTTCTTAGGACTCCCTCCCCCACCGGAGGATTGTCTTAACTACAGAAATACATTTACAAGCAATTTTAGAAATCATGAGCAATTATCATGATAGGAGGAATATATAAGCATGTATCAAAGAGAAAAGTGGATCTCTCTCTCTCTGTTTCTCTCTCTCTCTCTCTCTCTCTCACACACACACACACACCTTTGATACAGACAAGATTCAGTTCAGCTTATTTGTGCCAGAACCAAAGTTATCAGATCTTTTGACTTTTCAAAAAATATTAGAAATCTGGATGTTTATTTCTGTGCTATTGTCAAATTTTAAATTTTTCAGTTTAATGTGGTCATTTTTAAAAAATAAAAATTGTAGGGTGCCTGGGTGGCTCAATGGGTTGAGCTGCTGCCTTTGGCTCAGGTCGTGATCTCAGGGTCCTGGGATCAAGTCCCACATCGGGCTCTCTGCTCAGCGGGGAGACTGCTTCCCTTCCTTTCTCTCTGCCTGCCTCTCTGCCTACTTGTGACCTCTCTCTGTCAAATAAATAAATAAAATCTTTAAAAAATAAAAAAATAAATTGTATATATTTAAGGTATACAACATGATGTTTTGCTATCATATACATTGTGAAATCATTACTACAGTCAAACTAATTAACATATCCATCTCCTCACATTGTTACTTTGTGGGGGGGGGTGAGAGCACCCGAGATGTTCTCTCAGAAAATTCCCTATACAATGTAGTATTATGAACTGTAGTCACCAAGCTATACACTAGATTTCTAAACGTATTCATCCTACATCATTGCACCTTTGTACCATTTGAGCGGTGTCTCCTCATTTCTTTATGAGTCAATGAAACAGCTCCTCTTTGGATGGAATTTAGGCAACAAAGCAGCAGTCTGTGACCTTCATCACCAGAGTATTAAATGCATTATATATGTGACTATCTCTACAAAGTGTGTGTCCTAGAGACAAGAAGATGATGTGTAATTAAGTCTGAAATACCCAGGATTTCATAAAATGACTGCCATATAATAAATGTAGAAAAATAGTAGGTGAATATATTGAATAACTCTAGTCTATGTTTTATTCAGATGGATGTGAAATAATAATTGAAGACTCTCAAAGGCAGTACCCCCAAGATATGTTTGTTGACACAAAAATGTCCTTGCAGCTTCTGCTGTCATCCTTATTTCTTTATTTTTTCCGACTTTAACATTGTTTTATATGTATATAAACTTCGGTGTGCATATATAATTTATAACAATGTGTGAATATAATATATAACTATATATCTATGAACATTGATAAACAATCTATAATTACAAATAACAATGTATACATATGTATATATTGATATATATATCTGAATAAATTAGAATATTTAAAATACTTTCTAAAATTCTTATAGCTACCCAGACTCCACATGTAAGATGACAGCATTACTACTTTCAAATTTGAGTGTGGATGAACATGATTCTAGCACCATAAAGTTGCCTCACTCTAAAATAGCTCTATTTCTGTCCCACGCCATAATCATGTGAAAATGTGTGTATTGACTGTTCTTCCAGAACAGAAGCATGCTGACCTCCTTACTCTTGTTCAAACTACTTTCCCTTTTATAATCCCATTGTCTTCCTCTCATGTTAAATATTTAATGCATATCTCCTCTGATATGCACACCCTCCCCTCACCTTACAGTCAAGGGTTATCCACTCTGCCTGCTAATTACTATTAACATTCAAACATTCAAACATCTTGTTTTCATCTTAAAAACAAAATAAAATACATTATTGACTCCATTTCCTCATCTAGCTAGTCATGCTTTTTTCTTTTTTTTTAGAGAAAAGAATTTTTACAGTGTTGTCAAACTCATCAACCTGTTCACAGTCTTTTAAAATCTCTGGAGGCCACTCCAGTTTGGTTTGTGCGTATTACTTGACCAAACTGATCTGGTCCGTCTATCATGTGTGGCGAAATCCAGTCAATTCTCTGTCCTAATATAGTGTGATTTTTCAGCAGGATCTGACAGGATTACTCTATTCTTATGTACTTTATCTTCTATCTCACTGGTCACTTTTTAATAGTCTTCACCTCTGCATACTGTAAAGTCTGGTGTATTTCTGCTATCAGGCCTTAGGACGTCATTTTTCTTCCTTTTGCCTTCACTCTTTGATGTTCTCATCTGGCCACAAGACTTGAAATACCATCTCTATGCTGACAACTCCCAGATATATACCTCCAGGATGAACCTCTCTAATGAAGCCCACACGTGGCTATCCGGCTGTCTACTCGGTGTCTTCATTAAATGTCACATACATTTAAACTTGACATATATTTGAGTTCCTGATCATGCCTGACTCCTCCTCTAAACCTCGTCTTTTTACAGCTTTTCCCATCTCAATGACTATCAGATCCAGGTTTCACATTGCTGAGGGCAAAATCTCACCCATTCAATGCAAATTCAGTTCAACTCAAACAATCCGGTTTGGATTACTCTGGGTTAAATCTAGGTCAATTCTAATTCCTAACTCAGACTGAAGTGATGATCAATTCTGCACAATTCCTGCTAGTCCCTGATTTTCAGTATTCTGTGCATACACACACACGCATACGTACACGCACACAATCTCTTCTGATAATAGAAACCTACTTCGTTTAAAGATTTTGAAGTCAGCTTCCCCTCTGTTCTTTCTCTCATATCCAAAACTCAATCCTCTGTGGATCCTCTTGGCTCTACCTTTTAAAAATATCCATAATCTGAACATTTCTCACCAATGTTATTTGCAACCTTGGGTCATGCTACCCTCTTAATTTGTCTCCACTATTGCCATAGGCTCCCATCTAGTCTCTCTGCTTCCACCTTTGCTCTCTGGTCTACTTCCAACACTTTAATGATCTTACTGAAATGCAGATCAGATCAGATCACTTAAATGTCTACCATGTCACTCAGAGAAAAAAGTCACAGGCCTTAATATAACTTCCATTGTCCTAAATAATTTGCCATCATTCAGTCCTTTTCCATTACCTCTTGGTGTTAATTACTAGCATTCTACCCCTTGTTCATGGACAAACCAACACCAGGCAATTGACCTACTCTCTGTCACTGGAAAACTTCAGCCCCTGGTTTTGTGGCCTTTTGGCTTGCTCTTCCTGAAATCCTATTTTCTCAAGTATACATTTTCCCACAATGAAAAAAAATTAAACACCTTGAAACAGAGTTAAGCTGTTACTTCCTGAAAATAATAAAAATATTAATAACTTTTAAGTAACATTTCTCCCATGTTAAAAAGAAAGGACATCTCACAAGGCAGTCTGTGAGGTAACTTGCTATATTCTAAGAAAATAAATAATCTCTTTAAGGAAAAATTTTATTATGTGCTCCTTTTTAAAATTCTATGAAGTTTCTTTTTTTTTTAAAGATTTTATTTATTTGAGAGAGAAAGTATGGGTGCGAGAGCATGAGTGGGGGGAGGGGCAGAGGCAGAGTGGGGAGCAGGCCCTGCCTGAGCAGGGAGCCCCACATGGGACTAGGTCAGGCTCCGTCCCAGAACCCTGAGATCAGGACCTGACCCACATTCAAACGCTGAAACTAAATGAGCCATCCAGGCCGCCAAATTTCATTCTTTAGAATATTGATATATATGATTATTCCCACATTTTAACATAAACCACAAATAATAATTTACAAATGTCTAACTCTTTATCAGTTTTAGGCAAGTTACTTCTGAAAAATAAAGGAAGCAGAGCTTGTTTATTTTTATTTACATCTATGTATTTCAAATATAACTTCCCTTGTTTTCACATGACCAGAACAGTGGGGTCATCTGACTCCATCATGGTTTTCCTACTTTGTTCACTCACTAACTCCTGTGGATCCTTTCCCCTCCCCCTCATTTCCATTATGGCTCCTGCACTCAGCTCAGAAGCTAAAACTCAAACTGTTACACTTAAAACTCACTTATTTGCTTTATTCTCTCTCATCTCTAATCCACATTTACATTTACTAGTAACTTTAGATTTAAGAGATTGCTTAAGTGAAATTGAAAATTATTTTTATCAAATTTAATTGGGATGGTTGGAGTATGTAATAAAAAAATCCAAAAATATCAAGAAAGTATCCATATGAATAAAAGTTTGGAAATTATATTTACTGGTGCTAAGACTCACTAAGTTATATTTGAGAGACATTAATGGATGCTCAGGTAGGATATTAGGGAAATACTAAATACAGATTATAATAAAAATAAAGAAGAAATAGACAGATACTGATTTAGAAGAAGTAACTGGTAGAAGGTAAGAGTATGGGTTTTCCCATAGTCCACAAAAAAAAGGGTGCTACAAATGGGAATTTCTTATGTTTATTATTTATGTGAAATATCTTGAATTTTGTTTTTAAAGGGTTATACCGCTTCACTGTTTCTGAATCGGCACCTGCTGGGACTTCAATAGGAAAAATCATGGCGTATGATAATGACATTGGAGAGAATGCAGAAATGGATTACAGCATTGAAGATGCTTCACAAACATTTGACATAATTACTAATAATAAGACGCAAGAAGGAATAGTTATATTAAAAAAGGTAGATATATTTTCATATTTACTTTGCAGAAGAATACAAAATCAAATCAGAAATGCATATAATTATTTTGTTTAGCCAGTTAGTTATTGCTTCATTAAGTAATTGAAATGAGAATCTGTGATTTATGACTTAGGAAGCAGAGGAACTTAGAGATTAGACAGAATTATTACAGAGTCTCAAATTATTTGTAGAACAGTTTTTTTTTTATTTTATTGTTTTTAAAGATTTTTAGAGGATGTTTTGGAAAGATCTTAAATAAAAAGAAATTAATTCTCAATTCCATAGGATATTAATGCCAAGAGAAGTATAATTTCAATCCTAAAAAAAATGCAGTTACTATTCCAAAACATTTTACAACAGAAATAAGTAACAAAACACAGGGATTCGCTCTGCAGCTGCTTAATGATAATATCAGAGGGATCCAACCCAAGTACATAAGAAGGGAAACCTGACTGAAAAGCGACTGAGATTTAATAACCCAAACTTTTTTTTTTTTTTCTAAATAGTGCCTTGGGTTACTGAAGCCATTTCTTCTTCTGTACATTGTATTTCTTTGTAGAGGGTGGATTTTGAGCACCAGAACCAATATCGTTTTAGAGCAAATGTTAAAAACCGCCACGTTGATGAGAAGCTCATGGAATACCATGTTGAAGCTTCCACCACTTTCATTAGGGTCCAGGTGGAAGATGAAGATGAACCTCCTGTTTTCCTGGTCCCATATTACCTGTTTGAAATCTTCGAAGAAAGCCCACATGGATCATTTGTAGGCATGGTGTCTGCCATGGATCCAGATCAGAGGAAATCACCTGTCAGGTATGTTTGGAAGGCCAGCTTTGTATTATTAAATGAGTGAATACAAATTAGCCTGAAAATATAATTTCATAGAAATGTAGTAGAGATAAATCTGTATTCCTGTATATGGTACTTATTAAATTTGCAACAACTTAAACCAGTTAAAACAGGAAACTAGTTGTAGTGAAATAAGCAATTGCTGTTGTAAGAGAAATAGGCAATCGCCAGCCAAAATTCAGTGAAATCAACTCTACTAATTTGGGGTAAGTAGTGAGGGAAAAGAAACCATTGATTACGCCAAGTCAGAAGCAAAGCTGACTGAAATGTGGTGAAGCTCACCAAAATTAAATACTACTTAATAGTCAAAAATTGAGAAAGCTTTCACACGATACCACTTAAGTAATAGAAATGAAGTAAGTTCAGTCAGCTAGAAATAAGTAAGCTTCTGTGTTGCAATTAAATAATACTTATCATTTATTAATCTACTCTGTTATTTTCAGGTACTCTATTTTCTTTTTTTTTTTTTTTTTTTGTCAGTATTTGACTGTAGACCTGGTGAGACATAAAAAAAAACCTGCTACATGTTTCCTTCCACCTCCTTCCCTTACTCTCCCGTTCTCCACACTTCAGAGTTCCGAGAATTTTACTAACTTCCATGTATTTATTAAGATGATGGCTATTGCTTTGCACTTTGTACAGGCAATGATACAAAGAAGCTTCTTTACATTTTTGAGACAGAAGAATGATCCCACTTTTCCAATGTAATTCCTAATCATAAAACACTGCCTTCTCATATGTAGATGTAGTTATATTTAGTAATAGTACTTCTCATAATAAATGTAAGTACATGTGTGGTATTATATGTACATAATCATAACCCAGTAAATGAATTATTTAGATTTTTTATTTTTATTTATTTTTTTTTAATTTTAAATTTTATTTTTTTAAACATATAATATCTTTTTATCCCCAGGGGTACAGGTCTGTGAATCGCCAGGTTTACACACTTCACAGCACTCACCATAGCACATACCCTCCCCAATGTCCACAATCCCACCCCCCCAACCCCCCTCCCCCCATTAACCCTCAGTTTGTTTTGTGAGATTAAGAGTCAATTATGGTTTGTCTCCCTCCCAATCCCATCTTGTTTCATTTATTCTTCTCCTACCCCCTTAACCCATGTTGCATCTCCTCTCCCTCATATCAGGGAGATCATATGATAGTTGTCTTTCTCCGATTGACTTATTTCGCTAAGCATGATACCCTCTAGTTCCATCCACGTCGTCGCAAATGGCAAGATTTCATTTCTTTTGATGGCTGCATAGTATTCCACTGTGTATATATACCACTTCTTCTTTATCCATTCGTCTGTTGATGGACATCTAGGTTCTTTCCATAGTTTGGCTATTGTAGACATTGCTGCTATAAACATTCGGGTGCACGTGCCCCTTCGGATCACTACGTTTGTATCTTTAGGGTAAATACCCAGCAGTGCAATTGCTGGGTCATAGGGTAGTTCTATTTTCAACATTTTGAGGAACCTCCATGCTGTTTTCCAGAGTGGTTGCACCAGCTTGCATTCCCACCAACAGTGTAGGAGGGTTCCCCTTTCTCCGCATCCTCGCCAGCATCTGTCATTTCCTGACTTGTTAATTTTAGCCATTCTGACTGGTGTGAGGTGATATCTCATTGTGGTTTTGATTTGTATTTCCCTGATGCCGAGTGATATGGAGCACTTTTTCATGTGTCTGTTGGCCATCTGGATGTCTTCTTTGCAGAAATGTCTGTTCATGTCTTCTGCCCATTTCTTGATTGGATTATTTGTTCTTTGGGTGTTGAGTTTGCTAAGTTCTTTATAGATTTTGGACACTAGCCCTTTATCCGATATGTCATTTGCAAATATCTTCTCCCATTCTGTCAGTTGTCTTTTGGTTTTGTTAACTGTTTCCTTTGCTGTGCAAAAGCTTTTGATCTTGATAAAATCCCAATAGTTCATTTTTGCCCTTGCTTCCCTTGCCTTTGGCGATGTTCCTAGGAAGATGTTGCTGCGGCTGAGGTCGAAGAGGTTGCTGCCTGTGTTCTCCTCAAGGATTTTGATGGATTCCTTTCTCACATTGAGATCCTTCATCCATTTTGAGTCTATTTTCGTGTGTGGTGTAAGGAAATGATCCAATTTCATTTTTCTGCATGTGGCTGTCCAATTTTCCCAACACCATTTGTTGAAGAGGCTGTCTTTTTTCCATTGGACATTCTTTCCTGCTTTGTCAAAGATGAGTTGACCATAGAGTTGAGGGTCTATTTCTGGGCTCTCTATTCTGTTCCATTGATCTATGTGTCTATTTTTGTGCCAGTACCATACTGTCTTGATGACGACAGCTTTGTAATAGAGCTTGAAGTCTGGAATTGTGATGCCACCAACTTTGGCTTTCTTTTTCAACATTCCTCTGGTTATTCAGGGTCTTTTCTGGTTCCATATAAATTTTAGAATTATTTGTTCCATTTCTTTGAAAAAAATGGATGGTACTTTGATAGGAATTGCATTAAATGTGTAGATTGCTTTAGGTAGCATAGACATTTTCACAATATTTATTCTTCCAATCCAGGAGCATGGAACATTTTTCCATTTCTTTGTGTCTTCCTCAATTTCTTTCATGAGTACTTTATAGTTTTCTGTGTATAGATTCTTAGTCTCTTTGGTTAGGTTTATTCCTAGGTATCTTATAGTTTTGGGTGCAATTGTAAATGGGATGGACTCCTTAATTTCTCTTTCTTCTGTCTTGTTGTTGGTGTAGAGAAATGCAACTGATTTCTGTGCATTGATTTTATATCCTGACACTTTACTGAATTCCTGTACAAGTTCTAGCAGTTTTGGAGTGGAGTCTTTTGGGTTTTCCACATATAGTATCATATCATCTGCAAAGAGTGATAGTTTGACTTCTTCTTTGCCAATTTGGATGCCTTTAATTTCCTTTTGTTGTCTGATTGCTGAGGCTAGGACTTCTAGTACTATGTTGAATAGCAGTGGTGATAACGGACATCCCTGCCGTGTTCCTGACCTTAGCGGAAAAGCTTTCAGTTTTTCTCCATTGAGAATGATATTTGCAGTGGGTTTTTCATAGATGGCTTTGATGATATTGAGGTATGTGCCCTCTATCCCTACACTTTGAAGAGTTTTGATCAGGAAGGGATGCTGTACTTTGTCAAATGCTTTTTCAGCATCTATGGAGAGTATCATATGGTTCTTGTTCTTTCTTTTATTAATGTGTTGTATCACATTGATTGATTTGCGGATGTTGAACCAACCTTGCAGCCCTGGAATAAATCCCACTTGGTCGTGGTGAATAATCCTTTTAATGTACTGTTGAATCCTATTGGCTAGTATTTTGGCGAGAATTTTTGCATCTGTGTTCATCAAGGATATTGGTCTGTAGTTCTCTTTCTTGATGGGATCCTTGTCTGGTTTTAGGATCAAGGTGATGCTGGCCTCATAAAATGAGTTTGGAAGTTTTCCTTCCATTTCTATTTTTTAGATTTTAGATTTTTTTTTTTAATTGATCAGTTATTTAATTAGGTTCTTTGTAAGAAATTTAGAACACCAATTTGTGAGGGTAAACTCCATTTGTGAGAGAAAACACAGAGCGGAGGTAGCCCTGAAGCTGAGGAACAGCCTTGATTTTTGGCAGAATTTGTGAGTCCACAGCTTTCTGATCAACCTTGCGCTGCTCTGTAATCTCGTATTTCTCTTTCTCGGTGTCGAAGATCTCACCCTCCTGGTGTCTGGGCTTACGCAACTTCTTCTTCTTGAAATAAGCATCAGTGAGATGTTTGGGGATTTTCACGCTGCTGATATCAATTTTGGTAGAAGTGGCAATGACGAATTTTTGGTGTGTTCTACGCAGAGGAACTCGATTGAGGGACAGAGGTCCAGTTACAAGTAGCAAGCAAGATTTTTTAAATTAGTATATCTATTCACCTGTGTATTGTTCTTTTGAGAATACTAAAGAATACATAATTCTAAAAAAATGCTTTAAGGATTAAGATGTTTATTAATTATCATTTATAACAATTAAGTGTTAGAAACAATTTAAATATCTAGTCATAGTGGTATAATTAAGGTCATAGATGATCAGTGCTTGACAGTGATGCCTATGAACATAGCTAAAAATATGGTGTGATTTAAAAATAATACAAAATTACTTGACTTACAAGTTTACTATAAGTAAAATATTTCCTCTCTATGAGTCAAATAAGTGAGCCACACCCAAATATTAACTGGGGTTATGTGTTTTATATTATCACTGTTGGTGGTTACTTACTTTCTTTTCCTTCTTTATTCTTTAAAAAGATTTTATTTATTAGGGAGAGAGAGAGCACAAACTGGGGTAGGAGGAAGGGCAGAGGGAGAGGGAATGGGAGAAGCAGGCTCCCCAGTGAGGAAGGAGCCTGATTTGGGGCCCAATCTCAGGACCCTGGGATCATGACCCGAGTAGAAGGCAGATGATTAACTGACTGAGCCACCCAGGCGCCCCTACTTTATTTTCTACCAAGAATATTTTAGCTAACAATTTTTACATTTATACTGAAATTAATTACATTAAAATGTTTTGTTAGTGCTTATCAAAACAATATTTTTTAATGTCTTTTATGGACATTGTTTCATTTAGAGTTGCCTTTTCATTAAGACTGCTTTTCATACGTTTGTTAGGATGAAAATAGCTACTTGAACATATTTTAGTAGGTACACCCGCCCCAGGTTTTTTTGTTTGTTTGTTTTTGTTTTTGTTTTTTTGTTTTGGAAGCAAAAGATCAAAAAAAATGTTTGAAAATCAAACGCTAAATGATTTCAATTTGGGTTTTAATGTGGTACATCTCCCTTAATACTCATTACATGGCAAAACATATGGAAACCAAAGGAAATTAAAGGGCATTTTACGGGGGCGCCTGGGTGGCTCAGTGGTTTAAGCCGCTGCCTTCGGCTCAGGTCATGATCTCAGGGTCCTGGGATCGAGTCCCGCATCGGGCTCTCTGCTCAGCAGGGAGCCTGCTTCCCTCCCTCTCTCTGCCTGCCTCTCTACTTGTGATCTCTCTCTGTCAAATAAATAAATAAAATCTTTAAAAAAATAAAAATAAAAATAAAATAAAGGGCATTTTACTTTGCCTTCAGGGATATTCCCTGTTTGGGGGAAATAAATTAGCACATAGTAAACAAATTACCTTATACATAATTCAGATAACTCACATTACTTAGTTTTTCCTTCCATGTAAGAACTATCTGATATTTCTCTGAAGTGTGGAGATTCTCAGGCTTAGTTTCAGCGAGTCTTCGATGAGATAAACCAGCTTAACAAATTATTCTTGCCATTGATGTCACTGTTAAGTGCAGAAAAGCATGAGAAAATATGCTTTGGTATGAATTACAAACTTTGTGGTAAATGTTTAAGAAAAATGGGGTGCAGGTATGAAGAAAGGATGCAATAATTAGACCTGAAATTGATCAGTCTTTAGCAAAACAACCAAAGGGGGGAAAAAGAATGGACAAAAATTAACGTTATCAGAAATGAAAGAAGGAACATAAATTTTAATCCCATACACATTAAACAATATTATAGGGAAATACTATGAACGACTCCAAGCCAATGGATTCAGACCAATTCCTTGAAATTCTGTCAACATTCATATAAAAAGATAAATAACCTGAGTAGTCATGCATGTGAGAAACAGGGAGAGCTTTGTGGGTGTTCAGGAATGTCAGGAGTGTTCTCCTGTGGAAGAGGCTGTCTTTAAACATCTTTCATCTGTGTTCTAATGGAAGCACTTAAACATCCTTGAAACACCCAGGGGATCTGCAGCCTGCTTGGAAAAATCCAGCTTTTGTAAATGGGCTGGCTTTTATGCGTCTCAGTTGCTTTGTCTGTGAAGTGGGAACAGTCCTTGTGTAGAGGCACACGAGGATTAAGAACAAGAGGCACAGGCGTCTGAAGAAGCATAGGCAGATCCTTTGTTTGTCATTCAGGCAAGAGCTGTTGGCAAAGGGAAACAGTGTCACAGTCACACGGTATTCATTCAGCATTCTATAGGAATGAAGAGTTCCGTGAAAAGGAATTCTACAATGAACCAAACATCAAAACTTCACATTTTAAGCTTTTTAGCTCAAGCTCTTTCTAAAATGTGTTGCGCACATCTTTCCTAATGGGGTATGTTGACTATTACTTAAAATGTTACTGATGATGAAGTCATGATTTTAAAAACTTTTATTTGAAAATTATGTCAAACATTTGATTGGCTTTATTTAGAATGGTTTATTATAGAAACAGGATATTCTAGATGTTCAATACAAAATATTAACCGTTAAACTATTATTGCTCTCTGTCAACAAATCTCTTAAGTAGGAAATGTGACCATTTGTGGATATGTCAGTAAATTGCTTATAAAGTTTTAAAATGGAGTAGAGGTAAAACCAAATTCCTTAAAGGTTAATTCTCTGCAATTTCTATTTTAATTCTCCCCTGAACACCAGTCTACAAATCAGTGTGATATTTTTAGAGGCCTGTCAATTCAAGATTAAAATATTCTCATCTCTTGCCACATAATTATGGCAAAACTCATTGATGTCTCATCAAAGTCTTCAGGAATATACGTGCAATGGGAAGTCATCATTGAACCCAAGTTATTACTCTTCTTTAATTTTTATTATTAATCATTTGCAAGCAGATAAGACATGCTGAGTACTTCAAAGGCTCCTTTCATTGTGGAGTTTGAGATCGTTTTCCAGGCTTTTGCACGAGGGAATTCTATTATCTGGCTTCTTTCCATGAATGCTCTAACAGCATATTCCATCTAGTATCATTACTTTCGGGGGATGCACACACACACACACACACACACACACACACACACACACATCTCATTTTTATCAAATATTATCAAAGCGTTTTCTTTAAACAAACAAAATCAAACATTTCTCATATATCAGCAATCAGGTAATTATAGTCTAACACACAGATTGAGCAGCATCGAATGGTCTGGGAAAGAGACTCAGCAGTTTAGGGTGAGGATATGCTTTGTGTTGCTTCAAAGGGGAAAAAAAAAGTTAACAGGCAGTAATTTTTACCAGTAGTCATTTGTACTTCTCTTAATTTTGCAAATGACATTGTACCATTTCTTTTTAGCTAAATCATTCACTTACTCAAATTTTGTTTTGGGATTGAGAGTGAATTACCTGTGTTCAGATTTGGCACGCATCAGTTTAAATCTGAGACCATTTTCGTGTAGTTTTTTTTTTCTTTTTCATCCTCACTGAGTTGAATCTTAAATATATGCATGTACCTTTCTAAAAAAATGTTCAGCATTACATTTGCTATATGGAGCATGCATTTTAATTTGTCTAATTGCCTCTAAAAGGTTTTACATATCACAATTATACAGATAAAATAATAAAATTAAGTGAAACTTTTTTTTCTGTGCGTGTGTGTGTGTGTGTGTGTGTGTGTGCGTGTGTGTGCGTGTGTGCAGGTATTCTATGACCAGAAGCAAAGTGTTCAGTATTGATGACAATGGCACAATCGTCACAACTAACCCTCTTGATCGAGAGATTAGTGCTTGGTACAACCTAAGTATTACAGCCACAGAAAAATGTAAGTACTCATTTAGGACCACACATTGGTTCAGCATATATTTAAACCATTCAATAATCTCCAAACGTAGAGGAAGAAGCTAGCTTAAAATTTGTTGGAATTGGAGTTAAATGATATATATGTCAATTCATATATGTGTATTTTATTTTATTATTTTATAAACCAATGTCTGTTCATTCCTGTTATAGCTTATTTCTACACTTACCACTACATATTTTAAGACTTTTTATTATGACAAATTAAACATAAATTTTGCAAGATATATTTAACTGAGATATATTTAACAGATATTAATGGGTTCTCATTTAAGTTATGATTTTAATGAAAAAAGAAAGTCTTATATACATTACCCCCCAAAAAAAATTGACCTTTAAAAAATACATATAGGTGGAAAGAAATTATAATACTTATTTCATAGGAATCTGTCCCTTAGAGAAAATTTTTCTAATTTAGAGAAATGTTTAATTGATGTTATGCATTCTTTTACTGCCATCCAAGGAATAATAAACCTAATGGTGAGAATTAAAATTTTAAATTTAAAGTAATTTAAAATTGACTAGTAATATCATACCATTTAACTATAATCAGTTTAGACTGACTGTATTAGTTCACGAGAGGACTATTCTAGAAATAAAACACAGAATGCCTGTGCCTTGTTCTATTTCTGGAACAACATGTTAACTACAATCTTGGACATTAGGGACAGGATAACACTCCAGCACAGCCTTTTAAAACTTTAGGCACTTAAAAATAATCACATTTCAATGAAATTATGGGAAAGAATATGAAGGATTCAAACAACAAACATTCATTGGTAAATCACAGTCAGACATTTTCAAATTAAGCTAATAGTGGAAGCTGTGCTAATGATCACTTCTTCAGTAATCAGCGGGGACCAGTTGTTGTGTGTTTTTATTTTCGTTTTCATTTTTTGATTTTGGTTTTTGTTTCAGAGATAGGGAGGTGATTCCATTTTCAGGTTGTAAAAACTAGATAAAATCATCCTAATTTACTACTTGGATAGTGTCTCCAAAATTATCAATCAATTTGGTATTAAGTCAACCATGTTAATTAATTTGATCTCAAAAGAATAGGTATAACACAGTATAAAAGCTTATCAGGATCATCCCCCTTTATTTAACTGATCGTTATTATAGTTCAGTAGATAATTAAATTTGTGAATATGAAATGTTCCAGAATGCATCCTTTAGAACTGATTTTGTGTACATTTTAATAATCTTGTTTACTTTTCTGGCTTTTTTTTAAACCTTTATACATATATCTTATTCCTTAGTGTTGAGTGGTGGCTGGGGATATGGTAGACTGGAAAGCATTTCTTGCATATTTTTTTTTTGTCACGCCTTGAATGACTCTATGGAAACACTGCAGGAGGCCTAAATCTGGGTTTGAATTTTCCATTTAACTTAACAACAAAGACTGAGGAGCAGTGTTACAGGGAATAAACGTCTGCTGCAACAGAAGAAATGCCAAGGCTCTTGGTGTCAGAAAACACAAAGATGCTTATTCTAAAGGCAAGAAGCTTTTATTCATTGGGTTTTCTGAGAACAAATTATTTATAATATCACTATTGACAAAACTGTTGAGAAAAAGGAATTCGAATCAGTTCAAGGGAAGGGTGGACATCTTTGAAAATGTGTTTCTCTATAAAATGGTTTTTCAGCTATTACAAAAGCATGTTTAATAAATGCATATAAACATTTTTATATTCATTTTATATACATATGTAAGTTTACTTTATGTACAAGGGGGATATTATGTAAGAATATATCATTTACTTTTTGTTAAATTAGAAAGGCTACCATATGCATTATTAGGAAGCAAAATCTGTAAAATGTATTATGTGTATTCTGAGACAAAAAAATCCTAATATTTTATGAATGAATACAAAAAAGGATGAATGATTGATTGATATGAAAAGTTTGTAAGATAAGCCAGTTATACCCAAATCCCATTAATCACATGATTACTTTTTATCAAAAAGATGTCATGGATATCTCTGGAGAGACATTGTTTGAAGTATCTTTGTGTTGCCCTGCCCTCTTTTTAATACAGTGGAGGTAAATGTAACATCACAAATGAAATAAAAACAGTCACACAAATCTCTGGGTCGCAAGATAGCTGCTATCCCCCCAAATTATTAATTTGACATATGTATCTATATTTGCATATATACTACAAAATGTATTCTCTAATCAACTTAATTATCTCACTACATGCTGTGTTCAGAGGTGCTACCCAAAGATTCAGTGAGACTTGAGTTCTTACTAAACTATTGCTCCTTACCAGTTTCACCTTATTAAGGAAAACAGTGGCTCCAAGTGTTCTCTGTAACGTGTTTATTTATGTGAGTGCGTGTGCAAGCATATAGTATTCAGGAAATAGAACTGTTTCAATTCGTAGTTTACAATATTACTTATTACATAAGCTTGCACTAAAGACCATAGATATTATAATGATTTATATATTAAGGAAAATAAAAATACAACGATGACAATAAAAACTAGGTACCTTTTGTGATTCACAAGGAAAAAAATTCTACCTTTGTCAATTCTTGTATGTTTAGGTATTTGTTTATAAAATACATCTTTTACACTGTGTTGTGAGTATTGGTGAGTCTTGAGGAATTATATTTTATTAAATAGATACTTGTATTGCAAATAAATATATATATGTTTATAAAGGTATATATCTGCATATATACTTTGTGTAATATTCTACGGTTAGTAGCATTTTTATAGGTCTTAATAAAAATCTGAAGCAAACAGTATTCCTGTTTCAGAGAAGATGGATCTGAAACTTACACAGCTTATTTGCCCAGCTCCTAAATAATGAAGCGAGAGATTGATCAAGGTTATATCTGATTCTAAAGCCCGTCTTAATCCTATGCCGTGCTATGCCACAGTGTTTCTTACTGAGAATGTGAGAAATTACACTTGCTTTCTATTTTTACTCTTTTTTAAAAATTTTTATTCTATTTTATTTTTTCAGTGTTCCAATATTCATTGTTTATGCACCACACCCAGTGCTCCATACAATACGTGCCCTCTATAATACCCACCACAGGCTCGCCCAAACCCCCACCACCCTCCCCTCCAAAACCCTCAGTTTGTTTCTCAGAGTCCACAGTCTCTCATGGTTTGTCTCCCCCTCCAGTTTCCCCCAACTCACTGCTCCTCTCCATCTCCAAATGTCTTCCGCATTATTCCTTATGCTCCACAAGGAAGTGAAACCGTATGATAATTGACTCTCTCTGTTTGACATATTTCACTCAGCATAATCTCTTCTACTCCCATCCATGTTGATACAAAAGTTGGGTATTCATCCTTCGTGATGGAGGCATAACACTCCATTGTATATATGGACCACATCTTCTTTATCCCTTCATCTGCTGAAGGTCATCTTGGCTCTTTCCACAGTTTGGGAAATGTGGCCATTGCTGCTATGAACATTGGGGTACAGATAGCCCTTCTTTTCACTACATCTGTATCTTTGGGGTAAATACCCAGTAGTGCAATTGCCGGGTCATAGGGTAGCTCTATTTTCAATTTCTTAAGGAATCTTCACACTGTTTTCCAAAGTGGCTGCACCAACTTGCATTCCCACCAGCAGTGTAAGAGGCTTCCCCTTTGTCCACATCCTCTCCAACACTTGTTGTTCACTGTCTTGTTAATTTTGGCCATTCTAACTGGTGTAAGATGGTATCTCAATGTGGTTTTGACTTGAATCTACCTGATGGTTAATGATGATGAACATTTTTTCATGTGTCTGTTAGCCGTTTGTATGTCTCTTTTGGAGAAGTGTCTGTTCATGTCTTCTGCCCATTTTTTGACGTGATTATCTGTTTTGTGTGTGTTGTGTTTGAGGAGTTCTTTATAGATCTTGGATATCAGCCCTTTGTCTGTACTGTCATTTGTGAATATCTTCTCCCATTCTGTGGGTTGCCTCTTTGTTTTGTTGACTGTTTCCTTTACTGTGCAGAAGCTTTTGATCTTGATGAAGTCCCAAAAGTTCATTTTTGCTTTTGTTTCCTTTGCCTTTGGAGACATATCTTGAAAAAAGTTGCTGTGGCTGATGTCAAAGAGGTTACTTTTATGTTCTCCTCTAGGATTTTGATAGATTCCTGCCTCATGTTGAGGACTTTTCTCCATTTTGAGTTTATCTTTGTGTATGGTTTAAGACAATGGTAGAGTTTCATTCTTCTACACATAGCTGTTCAATTTTTCCAGCACCATTTATTGAAGAGACTGTCTTTTTTCCACTGTATATTTTTTTCTGCTTTGTTGAAGATTATTTTACCATAAAGTTGAGGGTCCACATCTGGGCTCTCTACTCTGCTCCACTGGTCTATATGTCTGTTGTTGTGTCAATACCATACTGTCTTGGTGATCACAGCTTTGTAGTAAAGCTTGAAATCAGGCAACATGATGCCCCCAGTTTTGTTTCTCTTTTTCAACATTTCCTTAGCAATTCCTGGTCTCTTCTAGTTCCATACAAATTTTAGGATTGTTTGTTCCAGCTCTTTGAAAAATGCTGGTGGAATTTTGATCAGGATGGCATTGAAAGTATAGATGGCTCTAGGCAGTGTAGACATTTTAACAATGTTTATTCTTCCAATCCATGAGCATGGAATGGTCTTCCATCTTTTTGTTTCTTCTTCAGTTTCTTTCATGAGTGTTCTGTAGTTCCTCTAGTACAGATCCTTTACCTCTTTGGTTGGGTTTATTCCCAGGCATTTTATGGTTCTTGTGCTATAGTGAATGGAATCAATTCTCTAATTTCCCTTTCTATATTTTCATTGTTAGTGTGTAAGAAAGCAACTGATTTCTATATATTGATTTTGTATCCTGCCACATTACTGACTTGCTGTATGAGTTCTAGTAGTTTGAGGGTGGAGTATTTTGGGTTTTCCATATAAAGTATCACGTCATCTTCAGAAAAAGCATTTGACAAGTACAGCATCTGTTCCTGATTAAAACGAT